TCGTTGTTTTTCTATTTGCTATTGAAGATCCTTGCAAGGATGCTTGTGAGACGATTTAATAACTGATGTGTTGGTAATCTCGTTCATCGTGTTCTCTCTTTAGTCATCGTTTTATATGCCTAGCTTTTAATTTTATATTGATTTCTTCTTCTCAAGCGTAGAATTATTTTCTCCATCTAGAATCGTGCTAGGGCATCAAGCTAGTGATCTTCTTTGATTAATCTATTATAGATTTTGCTTAATCATGAATTTATGGTTCAATATATTCTCATCATCCATCTAACGAAGCGTGCTTGTTATTTTAATATCTCAAGTTTTAGACCCCTGATTTACGCGATTTCAGTTGCGCTCGTTCCAGGATATTATCTAGTTTATTCTCACAAAATTTGAGATCAATAAGATTAACGATTTTTGTCAAGGTCAGTTTTATTAGAGAGATGTTAAAATGAGGTGCAATTAGGTCTTGTGTTTAGGGGGAAGCTAGTGACCTGTTTTTTATAAAATAGAATAGATCTAATCGTTGTTAGTGGTGACGGTGACCAGAGCCTGCCAGATTGAAGGCCAATGCTTCTTATTATTGTGAGAATTTGTAATATTTATCTTTTGTCTAAGCGCTTCTCATGATGATTAATATCGAGTCTCTTTTAGGGCCTATAGTTAGTAATGGTAAGAGAGTTACCATTTAAAATTGGCATGTGAGAATCCAAATGGGTCACCCTATCATACTTGTCCATCTAACACTGCGCTTGTCTTAGCATAAAAAGTACCAATAACTAGCTGCCATGAATTTCATACAAAATACTCCCTCTGCCTATCGATGTAAGGTGCATTTTGAACATAAACAAAGTCAAATTATACAAAATTTGACAAAGAATTAGTTGAATTATATGCAAGTTTATGGCATAAAATTTGCATCAGTATAATTGGATTCAAGAGGCCTTTGAGATGACATCGACATTTTTTGGGCAATTGACAACATATTGTAAGAAAAATTAATAGCCAACATTTTCTTTGTATGACTTTTCTTTTATCAAGAAAATGTTTTAAGCTGCTAGATTTAAGGAGTACCAGATAACTACTTCCTTCGTTAAGTTTGGTTCAATTTATTGAAAAGAATATCAATATTTATAATACCAAATTACTATCATTAGATACACTATAAAAAATATTTCATAATATGGTGTCATAAATATTGGGGCTCTTTTCTGTAAACCAGTCAAACTTTTAAAGTTTTACTTAAGACAACTATGTAAGTTGATTTATTAGGAGGAGAGTAGTTGTCAGGACTTTCGTAACAATGTTTAGATGCTTGGTATTCCATCCATTCCTAGATGTTAGCCACTTCAGTTTTATCATAAATTCAACTTATCTATAAGCTTTTAGAAAATATATTAACATATACAACACCCAATTATATTATTAAGAAATATTTTATGGTCGGTTTGATGAAACAGAGTTGATGTTGTAGATATCGGTGTGTTTTCTATAAATATGGTTTAAGTTATAGAGAGGTTGACTTAGGATAAAGTTCAAATGACCTACACGGTTAAATTGTAAGTTGTTTTAGTTTTATCCTACATAAAATTTATCTAATTTTAACCAAACGGGTAGAAATATATATTAACATATACAATATAAAACAAATACACTATCAATATTTCATGGTGTATCCAATTAATGAATCTAGTTTATTATTGTTGATGTTTGTGTATTTTTCTATAATTTGATTAAAACTAGAGAAATATGACTTATATCAAAGGTAAAAATGATTTACAATTTGAGTCAAAGAGAGGATAATTCTTACCTGATAACTATTAACATAAACTATATTGTTGAAATGCGAACTGAGCTTGGTTAGGTTCCTTTGGTGTAACCTGGCCATTGGGGTTTAATTCCTCGACTTGATATGGGTACTTGTAGTTTCCTAAATTTATCCTAGAATTTAATGGTGCTATTCTTTTAATGATAAATGATGTGCCTATCAACAGTGAGGCACCTATAATGACTTCACTAATCTTGATATTTACCGATCCAAGTTAGTCTTGTAGGGTCGAGTGATGACGCAGCGACGGCATTAGTGGCTGGCATGACCATCGGGCATCAGCAAGACGGAGTATTGAGCAGCAACAGTCAGCGGAGCAGCCCAAGAAGGTACGTTTCTCTTAAGCCAAAGCTAGCCGACTGCCCAACTCAGCTACTCCCTAAGTCACGTTCCTCTTTTTTCCTTTCAAAGTTTCAGTTTCTCCCTTAAGAATTGCTGGCGGCCGGTGTTAGGTGATTCGCGATCAGCATGGACAGCAAAAGTAAACAATGTGTACTACACAAGCCAAGGAGTATTCAAAATTGATTTAGGTCTATTTACATATCAAATTGATCTTGCTTTTACTGGTGGCTACCACAAGTGTTGATAGAATATTTTCTGCAATAACCTTTATTTGGAATCATTAGTTGGGGTTTTTGGATCTACTAGAATTAATTTAGCAGCTAACTATTAGCTTCATGAATCTAAACACCTCGTAGTCCCTCCCATCACTCAACTCTAGTTTAGATAGTTTGCCCGTTTTTCTATTTTTAGAGGTTCCATGCATTCTTTTTAATTAAGACAATGAGCTGTTAACTAGTATTTTTAGTCATTTTGCAAAAAAAAAAATGTATATTTAATATACAATACATACATTTGCTATTTTCCCTAATATAATAATTTGATATAAGAAACTATGTATTGTTGATCTGCCTCTTTTTTGATGGAGGAACGGTAAGCCCCATTCAGCACGTCAACACGTTGTACCCTCGTACTGCACCAAACTAAATCAAATTCCACTCTAATCTCACGGGAGTCGTGAGCAATGCAAATGTGCCCACCGTGTACCACTTGTACCATCCGCAAGCAAAAGGAAAGAGCCAGCCAACAAAAGCGTGCCACTTCATCATGAGCCAATCCATCCACCGTGAGGTTGCATATGCAATCAGAATCTTTCCACGATTCCATTCGAAAAAAGGGTGATTTCTCATCAATCGTAGGTCAAACTTAAAATCGGTTTGAAGCATGTTCTTGAAAAAAAAAACATGTTGATTAAAATAATATCCATAAAAACTATATTTTGGCAAAGTATTTAAAAACATGTGTAGTTCCAACAATTCAAAACCCCTAGTTTAAACGAAAACAACAAGAATTAGTTCTGACCAGACCTAGTTTTGAACCAGTTAGATTCCAGTTGGAATCAGTTAGAAGATAGCTTGAACCAGTCAGAATACAGTTTTTGAATCAGTTAGTACTTAGTTGGAATCGGACCTAATCCCAACCAGACCCAGTTCAACTGGTTCAAACCCAACTTGAAGCTGTTAGAATCTGTTTTGAACCCAGTTGGAACCAGACCATCAACAACCAGTTTCAATTAGACCCAGTTTGAACCAGTAAGAACCCAGTTGGAACCAATTAAAATGCAATTTGAACCAATTAGAACCCAGTTCGTACCAGACCTAGCTCGAATATGTCAGAACCTAGTTTGAACCGGTCACGACTCTTTGAATTAGTTAGAACCCAGTTCCAACCAGGCCCAGTTTGAACCATTTAGAACCCAATTTTAACTAGTCAGAACCCAGTTGAAACCAGAGCATTAGCAACCAGTTTCAACCATACCCACTTTTCTCAGGCAGAACACCATAGTTGGAATTAGACCTAGCAGCAGCTGGTTTCAACCAAACCCAGTTTGAACCGGTCACAACCTAGTTTGAACCCGTTAGGACCTAGTTGGAACCAAACCCAGTAGTGACTAGTTCCAACCAGATCCAGTTTCATCCGGTGGTGGATCCAGGTACAAGCTATGGGGCCACCTAGCCCTGTAGGTTTTGAATCATGAATCCACCACTGGTTTACCCAGTCAGAACCTAGATAGAATTTGACATAGTAGTAAATCAGTTAAACTTGACCCGACCCATTTTGAACCACTTAGACCTTAGTTTAAACTAGACCTAACAACAACTTATTCCAACTAGACCTAGTTTCAATCAGTCTGAACCAAGTTATAACCAAACCCAGTAGCAAACCAAATCTATCCGGAACCAGTTTGAACCAGTCCAAACCTAGTTAGAACCGAACCTAGCAGCAAAGAGTTTCAACCAAACCGAGTTTGAACTAGTCAAAACCCAATTCAAACCAGACACAACAACATGTAGTGCCAACCAAACCCATTTTCATCCGGTCAGAACCGAATCAGAACCCAGTCCGACTAGACCTATCGGTAAACCAGTTCCAACCATAGTTATTAGGACTGGACTGGAGATTGAACCAGTCAACCACGGTTTGATTGGTTCAAACCATAGAACCACCGGTTTATCTGGTTTAAATGTAACTAAATATATCTCTCAAACACAAGTGACAGACAACAGGGTGCGGGTTCGAGTCCCAGGCAACGCGCTCCTGTTTGGTTTTCTCCCCCACACCCATGTGGGTTGCATGCCTGATCTTTTATCTGGACCGGACCGGTTAGGGCTCCGGTTCAGGTTTTTTCCGACGGACTGTCGAGGTCAACCCGTGTGGGCACGCTTGCTCGATCGGGCGGTCTAGTCATATTCTCCACAGAAAGTGTGGCCAGGTGTAGAATATATAAATAAACAAAAAGAAGAAGTAAGAGGCAACTCATATAACGAGTGTCCTATGGTGACACGCATAATGCAAGTTATGCTGCTTAGACACAAATATTTTAAAAGAGAAAATGTTATCATGTCAAATTCAGCGTGATGTTGCTAGCACATATTAAACAACCGGTGCAATCTTAAGCATCTTATTCATCTTCTAAGCATCAATACGTCATGCATGTATTATATTAAAGGTAAGATCTTGTTTGGATGTTGTCGAATTCGCATCAATCTATATGTAATTGTGGTGGATTGAAGTGGAACTTGAATTAAATTCCACCCCAATCCACTCCAATAGATGTGGATTGAGATGAATCCGATAAAATCCAAACAAGACCTAAGGTGGAAAACGATTTTTTTGGCTAATCATCACCCCCTCTAATTAGCGCATTGTACATGCTGTTAGAAAGAAAAAAAACATCAATGATAACTGAAAATATAATTAAAAGGGCTGGCTGGTCAAGGAGTGAGTCGCTTACCATGCTGAAGTGGCTGTAGTGGAAGACGTCACTGGCGCTAATGGTGTATGCCCGATGTTGTACTCCTTTTGGTTTTCTGAGATTTTTGCAAGCCTCGTATTGATACTTTTGATCCGGGCAGACAACGCATGTCGGCTGAGAATTTGGGTGCAGAAACCAGTCAAATATTTGCGCCACACTTTCTTCCAGCATCGATAACCCTGGCTTTTCAGGTCAACCTGCAGTTATTCAAGTAGAAAAACCTTGCACAAGTTACTAACATCACTATATAATATAACACACGCAGTCACTATAATAACACACAGTTCCGTCGGCCCATCATGTATTGCTACACAATTTAAAATATTGCCTGTTCACAAGGCAAAAGCCTGTCATTATCGGACTTTAAAACCAACCGAAAGTGTAGCAGATAATTGTCACTGCCGATTGTTAATAAAACCAGACAGTAACATTTCTAATACTGATTTTCTCTCAGACCCAGAATTTCTTTTTAACATGACTAACTCTCTCTCACGTTCACGTATGCGCCCTTTTCCTTCTCTCTCCCCTCTCGCTCTCCCTCCCGGCTTTATTTCCTCTCCTCCTCCCTAGATCCTGGTCTGCTCCTCCCTCTAAGCCTTCTCTCCTCTCTCGTCCTCTCCTCACCACACCCCAGCGTAGGTGTGGCATGGGACCCTAGCGTGTACTAGACGTGAGTGGCGCTAGTGTTTTTTTCTCTCTCTCTCTCATTTTTCTTGGAAAAATGGGCATCACTGTCCCCTGTCGCCGTGTGTGCAGCCGGCAGTGAACGCCAGGGCTATCACTGCTGAATACCACCACTAGCGCAAAATCCCACCATGAATGCAGGTTTGCGGGAGTAGTACAATGCCATTAGGGGGTTCCCAATGGTTGTTAAATATTATAGCTAATTGGCTATATCAAGAAGAGAGATCAAATAGATAGCGACTCTCAAATAGCTAGTTTAGCATGATCTTTTAAAACAACTCTCTCACAGATCATATAAATCTCCACTATAGTCTTCTTTTTTATTACTAAACCTCGTCTAGCTAGTTATTTGTAAGTTGTCATTGAAGACGCCCTTATAAATGTAACAATTGACTTACAGACACCCACTTGTCCTCGATTCTGACATGTAAGCTGGCGAAATTGCATTTAATTTACTGGCTTGCGAATTTTATATAATAAAGTTAGTGTAGAATTTAAATTCACATATGTAGACTAACTTTGGTTGAGCGTACACACAATAACACAAGCAAGCCAGGGGCAACAATGCTAGGTAGCTAACCTGGTAAATGAATTCATCGAGCGTGTCCTCGGCTTCGAACGCGACGTCGCGCGTCTGGCGCACCCACACGCGAGTCAGCTGGTCGGTGCCGGCACGGCGCTTCCGGTCGGCGTCGCGGATGAAGGCCTGCAGCCACTCCAGACGATCACGGAGCAGCGTCATGTTGTCGCCCACCTCCAGCAGGATCTTGGCCTCGCTCGCCGCCAGCTCGCCGAACTTGGACAGCACCGCCGCGATCGCCGTCTCCGCCATGATTATGTGTATTTATTTGTCCTTTAGTTTTACTTGTATATATAGTTTCTGTGTGGATTGAATACTGGATGAATGACGAACGAAAGTACGTCTCTCTTTGCTAAGCAACCAAGTGCTCGTCCTAGCTAGCACAACGCCGCCTCGATCAGCTGGGTGTGTGTGTGGATGCGCGCGCATGATGGCTGCAAGCTTGCAGCAGCTATATTATTTATAGATGGATAGATCCTTTCCGGCCAACCCCAGAAGCTTACAAGAAACAACGAATAACACACATGCCTTTTCTTTTTATCTGGAGATTCGCAAGCTGGATGGATTGCCGGCATTTTGGGCCAATTTAGCAGAGAGCAACAATCCATCTTTATTCTTTTATTTGTTCTTCTGCAACGACGACCCCCAAGCAAAGAATGAAACAGACCAGACGCATGTTTTCATGGAATCACCCAAAGGATGCATGGGTCCCCAGCGCACAAATTCCGAAACAGAAGCCATTGGGTGGCTGCTTGGCTTTTCAAAGACTGGTCTAACACTTGCACCAAGGTTAGACAAAAATCCTCTGGACTGCTCACTCTAATTCACGGAGGCTTTTTTAGAGTTAAATAATCTCAAGTTTAACTAAATATATATAGAAAAAAGTTAAAATACTAATAGTTATAACACGTAATATGTATCAGTAGATGAATCATAAAAATATAACTTTTTAATAATAAACTAACTTATTTGAGATAAAAACTATTGATAACATTTTTTGCAAATCTAGTCAAATTTAAGAAAAATTTAGCTTAGTTTAAACTTAGGATGACATTCTTTCTACTACGGAAGGAGTATATATCAACTCCAATTCAGCAAAACATGGTGCGGTTAGACAGTCCTGGCCTCCTGCGTCCTGTATAAAATAGGAGGGTGGCGCCGTCGCCTTCCGCCTTTCCCCACACTTCTTCTGTATTGAGAGAAAGGGAAAGAGCAAGCAGTTGGCGGCAAAGATGATGACCAGCCTAGTGAAGGTGATGACCGCACTGCCCATCGAGGCGACTTGGTTGATGGGTGCCCACTACTACAGAAAACTTTATAGAGACGGGCGTTGATTTTTGGAGGCGGGCAAAGCAACCGCCTCACGGTTAATGCGCACACCATGGACACGGTTAATGCGCAGACCATGGAGACGGGCGCTTTACCCGCTCGGTTAATCAATACAAAAAAAACAAAAAGAAAGAAAATCCCGTGGACAGGCCCGCCGAGACCATCCACGGGTGGCGGCCGCCGCTTGTCTAATCTGCAGCTCCGCTCGTCGGATCCGCAGCTCTGCTTGCCCGCTTGCCGGATCCGCCGCTCCGCTCGCCAGATTCGGGCTCCATCGGAGAAGATCGGGCCCCGCGCATGGCACTAGAGAAGGAGAAGACCGGGCCACGGCGGAGGAGGAGATCCACGCCGCCCGCGCTGGAGGAGGAGAACCACGCCGCCAGCACCCCGCGCCGGATCCGCCGTTGCCGGCCCCCGCCCTGGATCCGCCGTTGCCAGGCGCCATGGCCGTTGCCGCCGGGAGCGCGTGGCCTCCACCACCGGCGCGCGCGGCCCTCGCCTGGGTGAGAGGCACCCGCCACCGGGCCCTCCGCCGGGGGCGCGCGACCACCATGGCCAGGCCGGAGGAGCGCGGCCCTCGCCTGGGTGAGCGGTTGCTTCCTCAGATGCGCCGCCGGGAGAGAGTGGAGGGAGAGTCGAAGGGAGAGAGAGTGGAGGGAGGGAGAGAGCGAGGGAGGGACGCCACATCTGCTGAGGGAGACCGAGAGGGAGGGAGAGGCCGCCGCATTTGAGAGCTGGAGAGGCAGAGAGACTAGATAAGTGAAATCAAAACCCTAACTGGCAGTATATATATGAGGAGCGTGATATCGGGCTGAGATATGGGCTGTCTGGGCCACTATTTTTAGAGGAGGGCCTTATAGCATGCCCGCCTTCAAAAATTGATTTATGGAGACGGGTATCTTAAGACGACCGCCTTGGTAAATAAAAAATGCCCGCCTTCGTTAACCGTAGACATTAACCGAGGCGGTTGGATTTTGTCACCGCCTCTGTTAATAAAAGGGCACCGTCTTGTAAAATTATTTGTGTAGTAGTAGCCTTGGAGTCCATCCTTGAAGTGCTCATGGGCAGCTGCACCGTCAAGGTGCGATCGCTGGTGGTGCATCACGTGGCGGACCTAGCGGAGATGCTCCATTTTAAAACTTTGTGCCATCACTAGGAAATTCAGGACTTCCGCAAGCTGAAGGTCTTCGCATCTGTGGATGCCGTGCTTGTCATCCTTGACGACACACTGCTGCCGATCCTTGCCAAGCACCCCACCTCTCTCCCCGCCCTCGACCTCTTGGAGCGCGACGCCTAATAGACTCCACACCCTCTCCATCACCGTGGGAGGTACCTTCGAGGAAGAGGTCGACTTCATGTACCAGGATCTCATTCACCACGTCAAGGAAGGTGCCCTCCCGTCAATGAGTTAGTCGCCCACTCCAACTCCCTTCGTGCTCGCATCACCACCCTCCGTGACCAGGTTGTTGGGGTCAGCGACGACAACATTCTGAGTGATGGCGACGGTGAGGACAGCGATGATGGAGACAATGGGTTCATTGATGCGGATGATTGATCCAGAACCAGTCGGCTAGACAAGTAACGAGTTCAAGTTTATACAATATAGTATAACATAGTAGTAATCTGAGTGGATAACTAAAGGGAAACATAAATATTGGTCCGAGTAGTACAGTCCTTAATGTCATATATCTTACCCTATAGAATTACTATTGAGAGAAATGACTGGATCATGTAATCTGCATTTTGTAGTTTTGAATGGAATCAATACCTGCTCTGCTACCTTGTGGTGTACTTAGAACTTTCAAAATTAGTTATGTTTTCAAGAGAAAACATGGTATTGTCTATGGAGAGTACTACTGGGAGTGGTTTGGAGAACGTTGAGTTGGAACACTCTACTCAAGGAAGAAGATCAACAAATGTTGAACAAGATCATAAACAAATTGAAGAAGGCGGTGAGATGAAAAGAATGGGATGTATGCAACAGTCATATTTGGGAGCTTCACTAGCCATAGGCAATACATAAATGGTAGAATTGGGATTGTGGTCTCTAGCAACTCCACTCAGCATGAAACTATGGAAAATGATCGCAGTAACAAGATCTTAGTTGAATTGAATTTGTTGGTTTTGCAACTGAACATGAGAGAGAAGAGAGAGAGAGAGAGAGCCAAATGAGTGGTGGGCTAAAGTTCCTCTCCAACTCCCCCAATTATAGGGGAGGTGGTAGGAGAGGTTTTAGTTCCTTCCCCTGGTATAGCTCTTATTTACAAAAGAGTCCCTAGAAGTTATAAATGGGTTCTAAACATTGTGCGCCTCTAAAAGATCACGCCTCCCAAATTCAATAGGCTCTAGTACGCTGTGGGGGTCCGACACGTCAATTTAACTAAACCGGGTGTCACCTGCTTGACCGACGCACTTGAGCCTAAACCGACACATGGGATCCTTAGGAGAGTGCCATTCCGCACTTCCTCTTCCAGGTTCTTTAGCAGAAGTACATCTCACGAGCCAATCGTCAAGCATTTCACATTTCACAATCATCACATAATATGAAGAATTAACAAGTTACAGCATTGAGCATGACATACAAGTGAAAGACATACTTATCAAGAAAAGAGACATTTCATCTATGAACCCATCTTCTAGCTAAGTTTACTCTCAGTCTCTTTTCTACTAACATTAGGGTAACTACAACTCATTTGGGGATGTCCGTCCCGAAATTTGCTACACTTCAACTTCATTGAGCTTGGCTCAATGGTCATCAAGTCTGAAGTACTTGCAAAATAACTTACCGGTAGCAAAGTGATTACATTGTGTACTCAGAGGGCTTATTCCAACATATATATTTTGTGGATGCAGGGATTAATAGGCATTTGTAACTTTGCAAAAAAGGCATGGTTTTTATTAGAGAATGATATGCTGGTGATTCATATTTCAATTCTTGACAAGTATGGTTATATTGACAGGTAACTTTGAGAACATTATTAAGTGATCAACATTATGAAGTTATCTCATTTCCATGTTCAACCACTCTCACTACACTGAGTCTAGAAGAGAGAACAACCGAACAATTCCGTTCGAAGACTTCAGGCTTTCGAAAAGATCAATAGAGGTGTACAACTGTACCCACATAAACACCAAGGGTGAACCACTATACCCTTGCCCGGATAAGGGTTGCCTCAAGGTTCCGACCTTTCCTCAATGTGGCTGTTAGATCGATGAACGGTTTGATTGGGTACCGGTGTAATGCCATTGCATCTACATGGCATCACCCCTTGCTCCGAACCCACGTGATAAGCAAGTCACCACTATGTACTTTGCTACCTCCCCATAAGCTACATGTGGTCTGTACGGGTGGTTACTTGAATTTTAATATCCCATGAACGGTCCTTAGCTACGTCACTTGAGATCCAACACTCACAGTGACCTTACCCCTCGTTGAGTAGACATCAATTGATCATCAGTTAATTAACTCAAGTTGAGGTTGGTCCTTAGTCTCATTGAGCGAATTGAATTAAGTTGACACCCTTGTGAGTTTTAAGTAGTTACTTATCCCGGTGTAGCTCCTACACGCGCGAGAGTGAGTGCCTGCTCACACTCAACTTCTAACGACGCTAGCCAACTAAGCAATTAAGCGATCCAAGCCCATTGGTTAAGTAAAGGCTATGATTAACTTAAGTGAGTTGGTCTAATTTAGTGAAGTGATTTTAAGTAAAAAAAAGGGTGTACCCAGTGCAGAGAGCTCCCGCTCTATGCGGGATCTGGGAAAGGGTGTTAGTGGCAAGCCTTATCCTCACCTGTGCAATGCGAGGAGACCACGACTCGAACCCGGGAACTTCCGGTCACAGGCGGTAAGACTCTACCGCTTGCATCAGGCCCGCCCTTCAAGTGATTTTAAGTAATTCACCATTTTAAATGAAATGCAAATT